CGAATGGTCTGATGATGACACATAAAACACAAAGTAACATAGCGAGAACATGCATAGCTGACACTTAGCTATACGCATGACACTCAACACCCTGGCCAAGCTTGGCATACCTTCCCACCCTAGAACTGTCAGTCGATATGCTTTCGGCTGTCACTCTCGTTAAACTGATCATGTGTTAGAACTTAACAGGTGATGTCCCTGAGGTGCAAGTATGTGGGAGCTAATGCATACTGCGGTGTGGAGGGGCGGGGGGGGGGGGGGTTAGCTCTCTTAGAAGAATTTCCTATTCAGGCCAAACGTCGGAGTGTCAGATGTATCAGCCGCTTTGACTGATAGACTGCCGGCCACGCTGCCCATCCATTCCCGGTGACCTGTCTGTTTCCCTGTCAGTTCGCGTTGGCGTCCCGATAAATTCTTGTCTTTGTGTGCGCGCCTGCTATTTTCCCCGTTTGGCTGCGGATTCTTCCGACATTACTGATTCCTCCTTTATCTAAATTATTATCACAAGACTTTAATCTGCCAGTCTCTATCACACACATCTGTGTTAGCCTGAATGGATTACTTGCGTGGCAGTAAAAGCAATTAAGAAACAGTTTGGGCATAAAAAGGCTTGGGACGAGCAGCGGGAGGCACCTGTGACTGTACATCAAAACTAATCTGAGTAGACCTTATAAATCTGCGTAATCTCCACTCGGTAAAGTCTAATCTCTTCAATGCTTGCTCCTCCTCTGGCATTTGCTCCTTTCTTCTTCGTAAGGCGATTCGAAGTACGCGGCTGTGTCACTTTCTGGGTAGCGGGGTGACTTCGAGGCGAGAGATTATGTCCAGATCTGATCGACTTTGGTGGTACCGCATTGCATGGTCTCTGAGGATACGTCTATATGTGTGCGTATTCACAAAGGTGAACGCGCACCCACACACACGCACACACACACGCACACACACACACACACACACACGTCTCTCTCTGTCTGTCAGTCTGTCTGTCTGTCTCTGTCTGTCTTTCTGTCTGTTTGTCTGTCTTCTCTCTACACGCACGCACACACACACACACACACACACACACACACACACACACACACACTCTCTCTCTTCTCTCTCTCTCTCTCTCTCTCTCTCTCTCTCTCTCTCTCTCTCTCTCTCTCACACACACACACACACACACACACACACACACACACACACACACACACACACACACACACACACACACACACACACACACACACACACACACGCACACGCACATACACATACAACAAACAAACGCCACATTTACAATTAATCCCTGTTCTTGAATAAACATTATCTGCTCATCAATCATACGGAATCCTCGTTGCAAAATATCGTCCTTTGTGCAACTCGAATGCTGTTTTATCCCTACTTCTATTAAGTGAAGCACGTATGTAAATGATTAAACAGATGCATAAATAAGTTAATAGATAAACTAACTAATTAATCTATCAATCAATATATAAACAACTGCACGAATGAATAAATACATATATACGAGAATATAAAAGATGAGTGGGACAAATATCATCACAGGTGGAAATGTTGATGGCGACGATGACGAAGACGATGAGGATTGTGAAGCCGATGATGAAGACGGTGGAGACGAGGATGTCTACGAAGAATAAGAAAGGCAAAGATGATGTCTACGAGGACGATGGTGACTACGGAAATGAAGACGACGACTGCGAAGACGGAGACGAAGACGACGATGACGACTACGAAGACGATGATGACTACGAAGACAACGATGGCGACTACGAAGACGATGATGACTACGAAGACAACGATGGCGACTACGAAGACAACGATTACGAAGACGACGGTGACAACTACGAAGACGACGGTGACAACTACGCAGACGACGATGACGAAGACGACGGTGACGACTACGAAGACGATGACGATTGCGAAGACGGTGACGACTACGATGATGAGATGACTACGAAGACGATGACGATTACGAAGACTTCTATGGCGACTACGAAGACGACGACGATTACTAAGATGAAGACGACTACGAAGACGACGATGATGACAATGACGACTACGAAGACGACGATGACGATTACGAAGACTTCTATGACGACTATGAACACGAAGGCGATGGCGACTACGGAGAGACGATGACGACTACGGAGACGACGATGACTACGAAGACGACGGTGGCGACTACGGAGACGATGATGACTACGAAGACGACGATGACGACTACGAAGATGGAGACGACAAAATGAAAACGAAAACAACTGAAAACACGAAAATAAAGACGATGACTGTGACACCTACGACGGCGAACATGACCTCTACGGAGACAGAGACAAAGACGAAGGCGAAGACGCTGGCGACGACGACAAAGACCAAGATGACAACAACGACGGTTCACCCTTTCCTGAAGACGAGGAACGACCGCGGGGCATTATCGCGAGAACTCCGAGACAGACAGATAATCCTGGGCCTAAACACAAGGATACAAGGAGACAATTAGCTAAGTGGAAGATCCATCTCCGGCCGCCGAAGGGGGTGGCGGGCGCGGCGGCAGCGAGCACCGCCGGCCTACACAAACAAACAGCGCCGGCACCAGTAACTCTACACGTGGGAACCTGCGACACGCAAAAGGGGGAAGGCGAGGCGGGAAGGGGGGGTTGTGCGGAGGGTAAAACAGGGGGGGGGGAGGGGGAAGGGAGAAGGGAGAGCAAGACAGGGGGTGCGCTGGCCCGAGTGGCTGTGACGGTAAGCGGCGGAGGTGACGTGGCCAGCACTTTGTGTCGAGGAAAGGAGGTTGAGGTGGCCCGAGGAGCCATAATGGAAGAAGTGGAATGGCCGGCCAGCCAGCGGGGAGGGACTGGATGCAAAGGTGGAGGGATAGGAGAGGTGACAGGGGATGGGGAGGGGAAGGGGGTCACAAGAAGAAAGGGTGTAGTATTAAGGGGGAAGGGGGATCCTACATAAACAAAAAGTGATTAGGGCCTATGAGGAGAGCCATACTTCGGGTGAAAAACTTAAACGCGTGGAAAAATGAAGAAAATGCTCAGAAAAGGACTATAAAACAAAACACACATCGTATAGTTAACGGCCATTATGCTGATATATAAACATCATAACTTCCGATTTCCTTGTTTTTTCCAAGGTACAGAGAAATACACTACGCAGTGAAATAGGCTTTCGCAACTGCGTTTTTCATTATACACCTGAGAGTTTGTTTTAACAGATACCTATATTTAACTCACATAATTCTCTCAATTTCAATCAATATCCAATATGGCAATGCACGTCGACAAGGAAAGATTAGTACTACGGTCGGTCGCCCACTGACGCGGTGCAACACAGGTAAGAACCGGTCGGAAAGGGCCTTTACAAAAGCCACTGGCAAAGGGAACCATCGCTGGCCACCAGTAAGTGATGGCGGCAAGAAGTGGCGGCGGGAGGAACGCGGGGCAGCAAAAAATGGCGAGGAGTACGCATGAGGGCCTCTGGTGTGAGGATATGGTGACAGCGAGCGGTGATGGGTTATAAAGGGCGTTCCATAATCGATTGCAGATGAGGCACTAAGGACGCGTGATTAAAGCTAGCGGAAAGTGGAGGAGGAGGACGGGGCCGGAGCTGACGATGGAGGACGTGTGCATCCCAAGTACGGGTGAAGTGAGGACGGCCAACCTGCTTAAAATTGCGCGAGGTCCGACCCAAAGTATATTCCTTATACAGATGTCCATATACAGAGAAATAAATCCATATCTCTCTACACATGCATAGCTACCAGATAAATTGAGAGGTAAATGTATAACTACCAGACAGACAGACAGATATATATTATCTTTGTGTATATGCATGTCCGTATATACAAATATTCATTGGGTCGGGCCTCGTACAATCTTAACAAACAGGCCTTGAATCTCCTTCGGAAGAGAAATACAAGGATTGCAGTTATCCCGATACACAGGATGCACAAAATGACACAACATATACTTTGTAAGTGATGCATGTAACGTAAATCAAATTATAATCAAATGGGATTGCCGTCATCCCGATACACAGGATCCACAAAATTACACAACATATACGTTGTAAGTGATGCATGTAACGTAATTAAATAATTATATTAAGGTAGGAAGATTGTAATGAGGAAAAGCTAGAAGAGAGTGCTAGAATCTTGATAAACGGAATACACTTAGGTTCTAGTAAATGTCGATGTAGCAATGGGGGAAGGTTGGCAAAGCCAGCATTAAGAAAAAAACTAAAACACAGAATGCTCTTCAATGACAAATTTAAAGAGAGAGAATAAACAATTGTTGATAAACCGGGAACAATTGCTACTAAACTGATACACAGAATGATAAATATTTTTAAAATGTTCAAGGTAATAATGAAACAAATTAGGATGGTTATCAGTGAAGGAGAAATCACTTAAAGGAGATTCAAAATAACGGTAGATGACAAGGTAAGATAAGAAGAATTGGCAAAGTAGCGGGAGTTGCTAGATCCGAGCGGTTGAAGTGATTAGCGGCGGTCAAGAAGGGACGCGAGGAGACTAACGGCTGACATGAGGTATGTTGACTACAGGAGCAAAAGACGTGAAAAAGGAACATAGGGAATATTTGAAACAAAAATAAACTGGCTTGGAATTTAAAGAAACTTTATCGAATAAGAATGATAATTATATATGCGCAAACGAGAGAAATACTTATGACTGGTAAAAAGAATTCGAAAATACCTAAAACATCATACATGAACGTGTATACACACACACACACACACACACACACACACACACACACACACACACACACACACACACACACATATATATATATATATATATATATATATATATATATATATATATATATATATATATATATATGCATACTTACCTACATATATACAGACATGCATCCATACATGCGTAAGAAAACACATACACATATACGTGTGTATGTATTTATATATATAAAGTGTGTGTGTGTGCATATGTGTACGTATGTGTATGCGTATGTGCGCATATATTCACGCATGAGTTCGTGTGCGTGAGTGCGTGCATAACCAAAAAGCCAAACAGACCGTGAGGTATTCAAGCGATGTGCCCGGCCCCCTCGCCCTCGGCAGTCCACACGGAGCAACCTCTCAGAGATTTACACGAGTTGAACAGAAGTAATCCTATCCCCTCCCTTGTCCCCTCGCACCTGTCCCCTCGCCGCCACACCCTGTCGACACACAACACAGTCCAGATACCTGGTTTGCGGGCAGGGGCGAGAGAGGAGAGGTTTAACGGCAACCCTTTTTCCACCAACCGCTGCTGCCCCTGCTGCCTCGCTTACCCGAATCCCGCACTTGTAGCCTCATTTTCCCACAAGCTGTTCCCTCAACTCCATTTTTTTTTCTTTCTCTCTTCGTTTTTCTTTGCTTTGCTTTGCTTTTTTGTTGTTGTGTTTTTTCTCTCCCTCGTAACTTATCGTCGCAGCTAATATTTCTTCAGTCTTCCTCGTGGGTGTTTTTGCTTCCCTTTTTTTGTCATGGCATCTTTCACTCCATTATTTACTCCATTTTCTTCTTTCCGTTTGTTCTTTTTTCTTTCTTTCTCTATCTCATGTACTTCACATTCTTCTTCTTGTTCTCCTATTTCTTCTTTCTTTTAATATCAAATATCCCATATCATTGGCACTTATCACATGACGAGGTCGAAAGAAATTAAGTGGTGAAAATGAAGAGGATTACGTAAGTGCCTTATAGTAGATGCAAGTGATATGATGCGCAATAAATGCATATATATATATATATATATATATATATATATATATATATATATATATATATATATATATATATATATATATATATATACTGTTTTTTTTTCTTTTCTTTATTTATCTGTCAAACATTATCTGAGAACGAAGAAGGCAAAAAGGTAAAAATAAATAGAATATAGAAAAAGAGCTTTGTACTGAATGCATATCATATACTTCGTGTTTCACAGTAACGAACTGAATGAACGGAACATACAGACGAAAATTGTTCACTGTTCACACTGAAAGAACAGCCTTGCCTTTTGAAAGAGGAAATGGCAATGGCCATGGGGAGATATAACCGACATATTCAAATAAACTGTATCAATAATCAAGCGATTATCCGCCACGTAAACTAAACAAAAAACATCTTATCTACAAACCAAAAACGACTCTAAGTATACAAGATTACACGTAAGTAGACACAAGTATACATGGAGTTATCAGGCCTCCTTCATCAGCGCTGATCAATGCGGTATGTAGCCACCTGTAACCACATGCTCCGATGATCTTAAATGGCAGCGTATATGTGCATGAGTCACGCGGGCGCTATCGTAAAAAAAAACACGTGTTCTTTTTTTTTTGTATATTTTGCATTTCTTTCGACTATTTTCGAAAACGTTTGGTGTCTGTCGTAGTACCTTCTCATCGTCACCTTCAGTCTGTTAAGTGAAACTGAATTACTTCAGCAACAATAAAAGTAATAATAATAATAATAACGAAAAAAATAAGAACAAAAAACAAACAAACAAATACTGATGTTGATCATTATAATCATCATAGTAATAATAACAAAAGTAGCAATGAAAATAGTAATGATGATAATAGTAATGATAATGGTGATGATAATGTAATTGAAGGTGACAATAATAATGATTATATTAATGTTAATAATAGTGATAATAATTATGAATAATGACAAAAATGAAAATTATGATAATAACATTAGTAATTATAATAATCATAATACCACTAATAATGATAAATATTATAATAAATAATATCAACAATAATAATAAAGTTAATCATGATGATGATGATGATGATGGTGATGATGAAGATAACAATAATAATCATAGCAATAGCAATACTAATAATAACAACAATAACAATCATTATAACGATAGTAACGTCGGTAACAAGAGCAACAACAATGCCAACAACAATTATAATAATAATAACGAGTGACGTTTAAATGTCACGGCAACTTTACTCTTTGAACAAATTAATAAGCACTAAATCGATCACAAAAATATACTAGAAATGGCTATAATTGGTAAATAGTAAAGAAAAATATCCCTAAGCCAGCATTTCTTCAAAGACCGTGAGGTTAAAATCAACTAGTATAAAAAAAAACAAGCAACATGCAAATCCTTCATTTCAATTGAACGAGATAAGTTGCAGTGAAAAAATGGCACAACACCTGTTACTTCACCCGAGCCACGACTCGTGTATGTGTGTGTGTGCATAAATAAATATGTATACATACATACACACACACTATATATATATATATATATATATATATTATATATATATATATATATATATATATATATATATATATATATATATATATATATATATATATATATATATATATATACATATATAAATGTGTATGTGTGCACATATATATACACAGTACATATACATATATATACATACACACACATACATACATACACACACAAACACAAACACACAC